AACAAACCGGCCTGGCCCACCACTTTCCCTGCACAAACAGCGGAACAAGTTTGGGAACCACTGCCCTAAAAGGTTGAAATTGGTTCCAGGTAAGCCAGATTCACTAGTGTGCACTCAATACACTTGCAGAAGGCCCCCCAAAAAACAAAACAAACCAGGTCAGCACTGAGAACCTGTCCGCCAGGTTACACCACCACTCACTCAAATTTGTCCTGACAGAGGGGCAGCTGAGAAGCGTGGGGCCATGTAAGTGCACAGCAGGCACTGGAAGTGAGCAGAGCTGTGGAGCCGGGTTTTGGAGGAACCACGCTATCCTAGGAAAAGAGCAGAGTGCAGAGCTGCAGGGCACCAGTGAGTGGCCAGGAAGGTCATGGGAGTGAGGAGCTGGGGCAAGTTGTTGATAGTCTATGTGCTGAATGGGAAGTGTTGGGGAGCTGCAGAGTGAGGGGCTGAGGGAGAGTTGGCAATGTTGGGGGTCAGTGAGCTTGGGAGCTGCGATGTTGGGGGCTGCTAGTGGGGGTAAATTTTTGGGGGTTGTAGTGAGCAAAATACATGCCAAGGCTCCTGGGATGTGTATGGGGTATATATGGGATAGAAGGGGCATTTGGGGGTCTGTGTGAGGTGGGTTATTTATGTGGCAGCGGCACTTTAAATAAGATGGAGATCCCAGAATTTCCATAGGGCACAGGGCCCCAAAATTCTTTAGTGTGGGCCTGGTTTCGGGCAGGGTAAATGGGAACCCATTCCACCACACATCCTGCCCTGCCCTGCCCTATCCTATCTTGCAGAAGCTAGGAACTCTTCTTACTAAGTGCAGTGCTTCAGTACTGTCATCCTAAACCGCTGGAAAACTAGGAAGCCTCTGGTTGTCATCCCCCTATGAATTAAATAGTTTTCTGTGGGTTAAATCTTGTGCTTGAAAGTTTCCTCTAAAAAAGTTCCTCTTTTTATATGTGTTATTTAAATATTACAGATATAATATCAAATATAACGCACAAACATATGAAGTAAAATGTAATAAACAAACAAACATACAAAGAAAAGTTTGATTAGACCACAAAACAAAGGAAACATTAAAAATGGCCTTGCCAAAGATGAAATGCTTTTGGTAGAGATTTTTGAGATCAATGAGATACTGCCAACCTGTTCTGGGAAGAACTGGACCATCTTTAAAAAGCTGTTAAAACGCAGTGAAAAATTTCTCCTGGATTTTTCTTTTAATTCAACACTGCATTGACTAGAAATTAAACACCTCTTGCTCACTGCTTTGAATCTAGTCCAGGCTAGTAACTAAGTGTAATTAACTATCATACATGGTCTACATAAAATAAATTAGTGGCCATTTTTATTCTGTCTACTCTGAAATGGACTAAAGGTTTGTATCCCAAAAGTCTCCATCATAATTGGAAATCTTGTTGACAATCTCAATAGGTTACACTCGGTGCAAGTATGAATGGAGACTGAAGGACTCCTCACCATTGGAGGATCACTAGAAGATTTTCCAACAACCTATTGATGGAAATATGCAGTGAAGCTTGTATCATTATTCTGCAGATAATAGGAGAATTTCATTTTCTTAACAAGAGTCCATTTCTGGAGAAATCAGACAAAAATGCTTCCTGCTTCATTACAGCAAGGCCAGCAGCGATATGACAATTCAACTAACAAAAATGTTTCCTAGGGCTATGCTGGCATAAATAAAGTTAATGCAAAATGAAGACCAACACTAATTTTTAAGCTTCCACTACAAGTAATATGGAAGATGGGCAAAGAATACTTGTGGTTTTTTTTTAAAAAAGTAGCTTAATAGAGAACACCTTTATTTTCAGTTATCTAAAAGCAACTATGAGAATAAAAGCATAGTTAGCAAGGACCTTTAAGAAATAGCAAAACAGTTTCCTTAAGTTGTATGTCTTCATCTACGGAGAGAAACCCTCAGTCACCTTTTTGTTAAAAGCTAGTCTATTCACAGATAAGTCTGCTTTTGTACCACACAAAGATAATTAAAATCTGCAATTAACACAAGTCTGTGCTCTGAATTACACCCTTGATTTGGACTGCGATACTCACACACTATTAAGCAGTTTCATTCTTTTGTTTACAAGCTTGACTTTTCAATCCCTAGGTTGTGGCTGGGGGGAGGGGGGAGGAAGAGAGGGAGCAGGAGAGTGGGATTGTTTTGTTTGTTTATTTTTAAGAGGGAAAAAATAAGCCACCTACAGCCTTCCTTCATTCCTCTTTATTCATCTGAAAGAGTAAATAAAAATGGGCCTAACAACAACATATATCCTATTTATGTGTCTCCTACCTAAACCATTTATTGTACTCTGTGCCTACAGTACAAGTCATACATTTTATTACAGTACAAATTACACTGAACTATACAAGTTAATGCTTAACTGTTTCACACTACATTCACAAAAAACATTTGGCCTAGAATATCAACGTTGTTACATCACTTCTTTCAACAAGCTCCCTTTCTACAAGAATTTTTTTAAAATGTACTTTGTTTTCTTCACTTTCCCCTTCCCTAAATTTAACTAATCTCACAGGCACAACTATGAAAATCCATCTTGTTCCTCTTCCTCCTCTTGAATCGTGCGCCCAAATAATTAAAAATAAAAGATTCCTTATATAAATTCAGTTTTGAAAGTTCTACATTTTTTTCCACACATCCCTCTCCCATTTTTCTTTTTACTCCATGATGCAAAAAAGCAGAGCAAGATAAAATGACATAGGCCATTCCGAGGACATGCAAACAAAGCATTTTTCTCAAGTAAAGGCCCACCTTAATTATTTTAAGTGCTTCCCTCTCTGATTTGATATTTTTGAGGGGAGAGGGGAGGGGAAGAAGACATTCAGTTGGATAAATGAGAATTAGACATGTGTAGCATCTTTGCAATCTGAATCTTCTAAGTGGTCAGAACTGTGGCAAGTAGGACATTAACATGCCCTATCATCTCATAAGTAAATATTTTTTGAGAGCAAATACTAGACAAACTATTTTGTAACCTTAATTATAATCTTGCTTTCCCTTTTTTTTAAAAAAAGCCTCTTTTGGGGATAAAGCTTTCTGGTATCAAGCAAAAAATGATGTATTTTTTAAGTTTGATGAAAATCTGTTCAGCTAGTTGTAATATGTAAGGCTTAAAGGTGAAGAAAGTGAGTGGCATGGGCAAATTTTTGCCACTAAGGTACTGCTACAGCTTTCTCTCCTACGCACACTTCATTCAAATAGGGATGGAGCTTTTAAACTTAGCCTGTAAATATGATTAATTATGGAGTATCACTGGCCACGTTTGAGAATAGCTTGTTGGATAATAAAGTTACATGATTGAAGAAAAATAATTTGGGCATGCTTAATAGGCATCCAAGATTTTTTTTTAACATAGTCTAATGACACAATACACCATGATTGCTCCTAGAAAAAGGATTAGAGAAATTGTAAATGAAGAAAATAATCAAAATAAGATGTGCTACTGTCCTGTTAACCAATACTGGAAATTGTCAACAAATAGCAGCAGCAATCTGAATTCACTCCTCCCCCAACTCGTTCACCAAAATGAGGAATGAACTTAAAAGTCCAACTGTGACTGGGAAGTGATCATTGTTTTCTTTAAAACAAGAAAATTAACTAAAAACTACTTTAGTACAATAGCAAGACACCACCATTAATTTTTTAAAAAATAAGGAAATACAAGCAGTTAAGATGTCTACAACTAACATTCAAGAGAAGTTATCCTTGAACAAGTCATTAAAAATGGTAATCCTGAGATCCATGTTTATTGTCTCTGACTTCCTTAGTAAGTTTATTCTGCTAACAGATAAAACAATTCGTTGTTTTGCCTTCTTGCTTGTTTAATATGCTACTCCTGTAAAATCAACTGCATGGAAGTGAAACCTAGGTTTTATCTGCATGGAAACAGTTCCAGCAGTGGTGCCTTAGTTAATAATTATGTTAGTGATGTGTAAGCCAAAATCTAACTCAGCTTTCTTCCCCTGATTCATAGCAACTCTACAGTATTAGAGAAACAAATAATAAATAATAATAATAATAAATAAAAATGCAACCATCTTAAATTTTAATCACTAAAGCAGATATGACCAAAAACGCAGGGTGTAAAAATCTGTTATGCAAGATATTTTTTCTTCTCCATACACACTTTTCTGACTATGACGACACTAAGTTGGTGATGTTAGATAATTTGTGTACCTTACAATATGCTTTTAACAAATAAATCTATTGTTATATACTTAAAGTAGAAGAAAATACTATAATCAGACAGGCTGAACAAATTTAAGTTCCTATGCTAATGTTAATTTTTGCCTTTCCTGATTTTTCCCCTCCTCCAAAGTACTAACTGTACAACCTTAACCTTCCATTGACAGGTTTTTGCATATGAATGAAATTTTAAAAAACCTTCTCAGTCATTAGAAAAAAATTAGTGGATTAATATGAGGAAAAGGTGGATATCACTTGCCAGTGAAAAGGGTAAAATTAAAATTAGTCCACATAAAAAAACACCCTCAATTTATTTCCCTGTTTCTTATTAAATTTGATCTAGGTATTAATATACAATATATTACACAAATACTGTTTATTTTATATATATTTAAGCTATAATTAAATGTTACCATTTACAGCTTATTTCCACACACTACTACTTCTCCTAAAATACATGTAATTTTCACCCTCCTTTTCTATTTATCTTGAACAGTTCTTAACATCTTGCCTGTTTATAAATCAGAGTGCAGATTAAGGAGAGAACTACAATTAGAATTGTAGGGTATATTACACAAAATATTCATTTTACCAATATATACTCATATTTAGATGAACTTTTAAACAATAGCCTTAAAATCATAATTTATCTGTATAAGAAAAGTGCTTCTGAAGACAGAAAAATCATGTGAACAAGCAACACTGTGTGTGATCACAGCATAATGAAATCAGCAAAATAATCCTATAAAAAAAAGTGGGGTGCAAATTGTATTTTTACCTGCAACAGCTGAGGTAACGCTTTTACAGTAAGACAGAACCAAATTCCCAGCTTGCATGGAAGCAAATCACGCCACTGTGGTTTTTCCAACGTTCTACAGCAAAGAAAATGTATTTTAAATATTAAAAGTACATTTTCATTCTTATTACACAATATACCTCTTTACAAAAGTCAGCAAACTCTCCTACAGCCTCAAACTAGAAATGTAAAATTCAAAATGCTTATTAATCCATTTTGAAAGTGCATAAACATTAATACAAAATATTCATTATGAATATTGAAGCCATTAAAAAGCATATAACAAACCAAAGAATCAAGACTAGATTTAGACAATGTGCTTCTACTAACTGCTATATTTTTAATCTTCTTTTAACAGGACTTTTCTTCATTTACACAAAATAAATTCTTAAGCCTTAAGTGATCATTTCAGCTAAAAAAGACTAACCATAACCAAAGTGTTCACAAGTGCTGACAACTAGATATGAAGACAGTAGCATAAATAAACCAATACATAAAAATTAATGTCATTTGCAGTTCACTGAAGCATTACTCACTGATGTCATCAGAATAGAAGACAGGCAGAATAGTCTCTGATCTCCATCCTGCATTGATCCAGTTCATGCCCCTGCTGTGTGAACTATTTAAACCCTTTATTTCTTTCTATAAATCAATAGAAGAAATGGTGGTATCTTTTGGAGTATACTGGATGTCACTTCCCTATGTTGTTTCTTAACTAAAGAGCAGTGTCAGAATCCTTTACTAATGCTTTTGTTTCGACGTGAACCGAACAATAAGCAAACATTAAAGAACCTCCAAAATTTCAGCAGTTACCAGAGCAATATGTTAAAAGACTCAGTAACGGTGAATTTGTTAGTTTACATTTTTAACCTAATTAAATCTTCAGTGGAAAAGCTTGTAATAAACTTCTTGCAAAAATTGTTTTATAAACCAGAAGCACCCTTCTGCAAATAAACTATACTTTATACATTCTTTGCTTTACAATTACTTTTGATTTTCCACATAACCACATCTCATATTACAAACCCACACCAATGCCTCCCTGAATATTTATAAATAGCAATCATAGTGCACATTGCCAGCCTTGCTACATTCTCATAAATTTAAAAGATTATTTTTCGGTGTGGACACACCACATACAAGCATACAGGCTGAGTGTGTAAAATATTTGATCAATTTCTTTAATATCTGAAGTAGAGATTTGACAAAATTATTTAATTATGAAAATACACTAGTAACTGTTCCCACCTTTCGTTTTTGTCAGCAGCACCAAGTTTTACTTCATCTGTACTCCTACCTCCTGTCTTTTTCTTCTTGTCTCTCTTTTTTTTGCTAAGCAGTTCATCCTTAATGTAGAAAGAATTATGGTTACAATTATCATTAACATGTACTCTATGAATGTTACTGGAACTCTTCTGTGAAGGATAAACATTAGAGTAGCATTTATGCAAATTATCTAGGGTCCTACATGATTAAGTAAAATCATCTATCTTTAACAATAACTGTTGCCATGGCATCCAGTCCTTAAACACACATGAAGTCCAGCTCTGTCAGTCATGTGTATCTCCATAGCAATCAAAGTTTTCTAAGAGGAGAAAGCATTCAACTTGCCTCCTTTTTCATTCATCAACTTTAATAATGTAGCTTGGAAAATAAAAGTAAATAGATGCTAATGTGTGAATACTGTTCAATTTATGTTTTTTTAAGAGTATAAACAAAAATTTATTGCTTTCTATGTTACGTTCGCTTGTACCATCAACTTAAAGCTTCCAAAGATATATAGGGGTGGGGAGTGGGGGGGGGGGGAAGAGGGAAAAATAAATACTAAAAAAATTATTTAGCTTTGACTGCTTATCTAATGACCCAGAGAACATTTATCAGGTTTTATTTTGGAAAAAACCTCCACTAAGAACAGGAAAAGCCAAAGTGAGTATGAATTCTCAATATCAAGACCAGACACACCCAACACTTGTGAAGACCAAAAGCACGACCATGGAAGGACATGTTTCTGCTTCAACAGATGATAGAGAAAGTGTCTGCTGTCTTTCTTTCCTCTGATAACTAGAAAAAAAACATCTTGTTCACTAATTATCATCAGTGACTGTATAAGATATTAAAATTTTACATGTTACATTCATATAAAAATTATTTCATTTTGACTTTTGAATCTAGAACATATAACTAGTTAATAAAATCTTTGCTACTAATACAACTAACGATTTTAAATACCAGAAGACTAATTTTAATGGTAAAAAAAAAAAAAAAAAAAAGAGTAAAATCCTTATTATTTGGAAACTTCTGCAAGAATTTCAGATAAACTAATGATTGTAGTGCATTTGATTTATTACCAATACTTACCAGCTGTTTTTCCAGGTAGATTGACCAAACCACAGCATAATGACCCACTGTGAGAATAATGAACAAGAGTAATGCCAGCTCAGCATTGCTCATTTTTCTCACCCGCCTGTAGTAGAATACAGGCTGTCGCCAATCTGGTAGTCCATTGATCAGAATATCATCATACCTACAGTAGCAAATATAACAGGCTTTCATGGAGAGTTTAAAATGAAATAAGCCAACTCACTTCATGTTGAAGACAGAAATTACCACAACACCACAAAATAAAATAAAATAATAATGTAACTTTTTTGAAATAGCAGGGGACAGACAGAATTCAGAATGGTATGATGTGGAAATGTTTTCCATCTCTTGCAGAAAAGGTGGTAAACTCTACTATTCCTGCAGCACCCCCATCTGATTCTCTTAAGAAACAGGACTTGCTGTAAAATGGGACATATGTTCTACATGCCTATCAATCAATGGTCAGGTCCCCAGGATGCAAGTGAACAACAAGAGAAATAATTGAAATGTGAGAACCCAAGGAACAAAGTTTCAATTACTTAAGTGTTTTACTAATTAAAAACCTGAATAATGAGGTAAAATATCTGCCTCTTGATTTTCTTTCTGGTGTTATATCAACTTCCACTACAGAGTAAAATGCATGTGTAATTTAATAAACCTTCTAGCTAGGTGCACCTCCTAATTAAACTCTTGTTTATGAAGCTAGAAATCAAGGTTCACCGGATCCAGGCAACTTTGTTTATTTCTAAAGAATGCTATTGAAAAGTTAACCTGCTCACATTAAACCGTTCAATTTATTTTAAGGCTATTCACTTTTATTAATGTAACTATGTCCTTACAAAAGTCATTTGAATAAAAAAAAGTCAGTTTATTTTTCCACATTTACTCCTTGAAGTACTTTAACATAAATAGTCTTTGCCTGTTAATTTATTTAATGTACTTCAATACTGGCTTACATAACCATGCAAAAATTAAATTTCAGATACCTAACCAAAAATGTTAAGAGGAAAAACTTAGAGGAAAAAAGCTATAATATAAAACTTGAAATAGTACATTCAAGATACACAACCTGTTAATCTTAAACTGAACACAATTCATTACATATTCTAATCACACCAATTCTAGAATTAAATCTGCACTGAAAGGCCTAATTTGGTGCAACACATTGACCAAAATATTTTAATTAAAAATATTCTGAGTTAGTCGCAGGCCTAATTACAGGAATAGAAATAGGGCCTATATTGTCATGCAGGTCAGTAGAACTCAGTAGTAGGTTTTTCTCAAGTAAATTGACCGATCCAGGAATAATAGCGCAGCTGCTAAACTGCCAGTCTTGACATGTAAATCAATTTAAATGCAACAACTGCAGTAGCTACTTTGATAGTTATTAAATTGATACCTTGGAGATGTACTAAGAAATTTAAAAAAAAACAGATTTATTGCTGGCAACTTTTTTTTAAGTGGAAAAACACTGGTCTTAAGTGCAAAATATATTTAACTCAAAAAATCTAGAAAATTTGACTTCTGATAAATGACCATTTATTTGTTCAAGGCAAGAGACATTATTAGTAATTTAGTCGGAAAAAGATTTAAAGCACAATATTCTGCTGACTTCTATGGTTACATACTAAAAAAGATGTATACCATGAAACTGTCTTCATATACATTTTCATAATTTTATAAGATTAATATCCAGAAATGTAAATTCTGATTTTACGATATATTGATTTATTGTGAAGGAAGAAAAAAGTTAAGACTTGAGGCAATAATCTGTGTGTGTGTGTGTATATATATAAAAAACAAAAAACAAAAAAACAAAAACAAAAACCTACTCAGCACTTAGTTTAGGAAATGACATTTTAAACTTAAACTACTAAAGGATGGAAAACTACATATTTCAAGAGCAAACCAAATAAACACAGCCACTTTACCACTTGTTTAATCTAAAAATCATAATGCATTCTAGTCCTACTGAATAGTTTAGAGTTGAAATACAAGAAAAATAGTTTGCAAGCAAAATGATTCTATTCAATTAAGACAGTGGATAATCTGACTTCAGAAAAAAAAAGGTTGCTAAAAAATGTTATGTTTGCATGTGCTATTAATTTAAAGCTCTCAAAGACACATGGGGTGAAGGGAAAAGGATAAGTCTTTTTGTACATTACTATTAATTTACTAAATATTTTTCTTTCTGAAACAGTGGGACAAGTTAATTACTAAACTTAAGTTATGTGCTAGAGGGGAAAAACAAATAAGTTATGATAAAATAATGCTGCTAAATATTCGTTTTCCAGTATTGTTATGAATATCAACAATGCAGTCTTATCTTCACAATATATAAATCCTATTTAACGCAAACCAAATTTAAGACAGCAGAATTTCATGCGTTAAACACTCTAAACAATACACAGTATTTACTTGGCTATGTCTAGTGTTCTGAACAACAGTCTCCGAGGATTATGTCTTAGAATCAATGCTCTATTGATTTTACTATCAATGAACATTATGGCTCACACGACTGGCCATTTTAAAGGAAGATAGCTTCTATTATAACCCACTTTTTAGAATATATACTGTTGAAAGATAAATCACTGCTTTCTATAGTAATTAAGCACTGCATTTGAAAAATAAAGCTATCATGATGATTTTTAGGGTTACAAGTGAACAGTGATCCCAGAGTTACTCAAAAGCCTCCTATAATTTGTAATTTTGTTTTCCACATTTAAGACATCGTTTCATTAAGAAGCATACACATTACTCAGTACTTATTTGCAAAAAAAAATAAAATAGCAGTTATGAAGGATAGTCATTCAAAGCATGTGCAGCATATTCAAAATTGTATTACAAAGCATTCTTCCTTTATCATCCTATTTTAAATTACTACTCCTTACCTCTCCTTCCCACAAAATTTCATTTGATCTATCTGTACTATTTTTTTCCTCTCCTCAGATGTATGCAAGTACACATAATGCAACTTGTATATGACATATGAGAGTGCCCAGTTGTTTTGTGTGCTTTGAAATAATCAGCAATTAATAGTGGGAAATAAATAATACCAGGAAGTAACTGAATCACAGCACAAGAGAGTAACCTCATAATGAAAATAAAACTTATTAAAAATATTAATTTAAAATTTAGTACCACCATTAAGAAACAGGTGTGAAAGTGTAATAATTTCACCTACCTATAATGATTCATGTTTTTAGAACTCTCTAGAATTTACAGTAGTGCAAGAAAATCAATTAATTTTGGTAGCTAATTTCAACATTACAGTATAATTATTTTACAATCATATAAAATGTTTACCATTTTTTTAAAGCCCAGGAAACTTCACGTTTCACACATTACTTCAGAGATCTGGTGTAGCTTACAAAAAGGACAATAAAACAAGTCTGAAGTAATGAAATCTTATAATTTAAAATCTAAATCTTAGAAAAAGCACCACTGAAGTTTTCCCCCCCCCATAAACTATCAAAGGCAACATGTAACGCAAATATGGTCAAGAACACTTTATATTTTCCATATGCTATGTGTAAAGTCAGTCAATTACACAAAAAAGTGCTAAGGTATAGTGTTAGAAGGATGCTTATTTTGATTCAGACACTAATGCTTGCTGTAATGAAAATCACAATGTTACAGAAAGTGGGGTGTATACACCAAAAGCTAGTTAAAAACATTAAGGTTTAAATGTATTGTTAAGACATTTGCTTAGATGTAGTGAATGGAAAAGTCTGTTCAAAATTACACATTCCCTTTACAAATTAAAACCAAAGTAATGACTATTAGCAAGTTTAGCTTGTAATTTTACCCAATAAAAATCTTACTGGGTGAAATTCACTCCAGCACAGAAAGCCTATGCAAAATCCTATCTAGCACATAACACTTATATGTGTATTAATTTACATCAAGGGCTCTGTGAACTATACTACTGTATATACAGCACGTATATAAAGTAAATAATATTTTATTGCATATTACACGCACATTTAAATTACTATTAAAATCAAAAAAGGAAAATATGAAGTGTTAATATGCTAAAGTAGTACATTCTACTGGCAAGAGTGAACCTTTCTGAAAAAGAAACAGGGTTTTTATTTATTGTTCTTATAAAAAATTACCATCATTACAAAACCTAAACTTAATTTCCCCAATACTAATTTCTCCCTACTGTTATTCACACCTTCTTGTCAACTGTCTGTAATGGACCACTCTCTTACCACTTCAAAAGTTATTTTTCCTCCCTTGCTATCCTGCTGTTAATTGATTTATCTCATTAGACTGACCTCACACTTGGTAAAGCAATCCCCATCCTTTCATGTATTTATACCTGCTCCTGTATTTTCACTCCATACACCGGATGAAGTGGGTTCTAGCCCACAAAAGCTTATGCTCAAATAAATCTGTTAGTCTCAAAAAGTGCCACAAGGACTCCTTGTTTTTACTACTAAATCTTAATACTGGAAGGCACGTTTATTCTCCAAAATGAAAAAGAATAAAAATATAAATTATGCCTAACTCCATGTGTTAAAGTAAAATAATTTATTTTTAATCTGCTAAAAGGAGTTACTCCACTTATTTGGTCGGTGAAGTGTAACTATTGTTTCTGTATACACACAATCATTGTCCCAGACATGCAGGAAGAAAGACAAGATGCAAGGGGTGAGGTTTAATTAGGCTGCAACTTCATTAACTTAACTCCTCTGGGAACTACCTGGCAGTAACTCATACAGTGCAGGTCATCATTGCTTCTTCAATTTTTTCGACCTGTTTGAGGGCTGCCATCAGCCCTCACCAATACCTGGTCCTAGCCCATTGCTGGGACCTGACCACCTTCCCCTTCCATGTGGCTTAAAGGGCTGTGGAAAGGGGGTTGGTCTCACTGTACCAGACATTAGAAACCCCAAACCCATTCCCCAGCTACTTTAGGGGATACCATCCCCTAACATGCACTACTGCTTTCGGTTTATCAGTGAACCAGACTTCCTATGGAACAAGTACCAGCACCGGACACCTGTCACCTGCTAAATTCTGACAGGCCAACAGGTACAGTTCAAGCTATCTGACCAGGTTCTGAGTTGCAGTGGGGAAGCAAAAAAAATCCACAGATTGCCAGCCAATCTGATGACATTGAGGGAAAAATTCCTTTCCAGCCCCCCAAAAGGCAACTAGTGTAATGCCCACAGAAGATCAAAAAAAACCACCACCACCTCCTACGCTAATCGTAGGGCTAGGTCGGGGGAGTTGCTAAGAGAAAGGGATCAGCTGGAGTGACACTACTTATATACTCTCTCCCAGGTACACAAGGGACAATGGCTTACCTGAGCACCACTGGTCAGCCCACAAGCTCATGAAATGCCTTCCCCAAACCATCAAAGGACTAGGAAGACTCTTAGAGGGGCCATTATCCCTTTTCCCCCACACTGCTCCAGACCTTTAAGGTTGCAGGGGGAACATGTGTTATCTGGCCTCAGGCATGTCCCTTTAGAGGACTGATTCACAGCATGATTAGTTGAGACTTGCATCAAGGAAAAGCTAGTTACCTATGAGTTGGTTGTGTCTTCAGGGGTATGAATACTGCCTTTACTTACATATGTATCTGTCAGTTCAGTTTTTCAACTCAGTCCCCAATCCAAATGCTAAAGAATTCTTGAGGAACAGATTGGACAACTGGATCTTACACTGCAGACTGCATACCATTTCTAGAAATCTCTTTTCAGGTGAATATCACCCTTTCTCCTACAGAATGGCTAGTCATTCATACACACATGCTCTAGTCTAGGAGACAAAAATATCAGGAAGGCCATGTCTATATGAGAAAATTGTTCGTAATGCATCAACTTAAGCTAAACTGATACAAAGCTCCCTTAAAATGAAATAAAAGTTTCACATGAAGGTGCTGCACCAATTTCATTATATCAATTTCTAAAACGGTTTAGATAAATAGGTACAATTTTCTCAGGTAGACAGGCCTAAGTACATAATAGTTACAAGCTACTGAATCACAATTACAAGTAAAGCAAGATCATGGTATAGAAGACGTGGAGAAATTCCTAAGGAACTCCAAAGGCAAATCTTATGATAAACTCCCTCAACATTAAACTATGATGAAATAGAAAATACATTTAAAGGATGTTACCTATAAAGCAAGAAGACATAAAATTTCAGGCTAATTCATACTTTTGGAACCATTTTAAAATAGCTACTGACCCACCCCTTCTCTCTCCCCTTCCACCCAGGCCCCCCTCCCCAGCCCACCCATTGTTAAACTTCCTAACTTTCCTTGATCTATGACTTCAAGTTGAAATTCCACAGAGGGAGGCAGAGTAGAAAACATACACAATCTAAAAAACTCCCTTAAACACATTTTCATGACTTGTTCAAAATAGAGGATTACCAGACAGAAGATAATCTCTGCTATGAGACATGGATTCCTGCCAAGATTTCTACAAAGCCAAAAGCCTTCAAGAGAAGGTCCTGAGAATCCCTGTTTAGAGAGCTGTAAACCTAAAGATACTTTACTAGAACTCCTGTGCTGGGAGCATGACTCTTTCTTTTGCCAAGTAAACCTGAAAATCATTAGTTCAAGTGGATATCCTAAACCAGATTATATGTACAGGCACATTACAGTCCTCTGGAAAGCAGTCCAAACACAAGCTAATGTCCATTAAGGCTATCTTTCAGGTACTCTTGGAACACCACTTAAGCCTCTGGGGCACTAGTCAAATATTTAAATTATACACCAGGGCAACTATCTACCACTTAAAAAAACCCCTAGGCTTATCCAGACACTAATATAATTATATGTTTGCAGTATCCTAAATTATATGCTTTTTAAAAGAAAAATATCAAAATACACGAAGCTAGAAACATTCAGGAACAGAGTACCTAATCATGTTATGGTTCCTTCTCACTACATAAGAACTAACAGGTGGGCAAAGTGGGTTATAATTCTCAAATCACATGCCTAAAATTGTAACTCACCAATTTATGGCTCTCTCCTCATGTGGACATGATCCAGAAATACAGAACTAGAGATTGTTCTAACAGAGAAAATTTCACTCCAAATACAAACTGTTTTAAAAAATGTTAAGAATCAAAGGAAGTAATCAGCTTATCTCACTGAAACATGTGTCATATACCTATATGCATTCTATTTACTTTAAATAGTAGCTAAATAAAAATTATGCCCCCACATTGTGCAAAGACTTACATATGTGCTTAACTATATTCAGTGTGAGTCAGTGAAGTCAATAGGATTACTCAGAATGCATAAAGTTAAGCATGTGCATAAATTTTGTAGGATTAGCACCCATGAGAGGTTTATTTAAAAATATGCAAAGTGTACTCACCTCTTCCTTCTCTCTTCATCCTTTAAAACCTCATAGATAGCCACCAACTAAAATAAAAGCATTGCTTTTATTAAGAAAATGACTATGAAAAGGAAACAGTGAAAACACCATGCACAAAGCAATCAAATCTTAAAAACAGATTTTTTTTCCTCTCTAATATTTCAATCTGAGGTGATATTTGTCTCAAAAATAGGTAAAAAATTTCCATCAGGAATGTGATTTTTAAGTTAATAGTGTCCCTTCAATAGGTCCAAAGGTACTCCAATTATAACACCACACAGCAAGTAGCCTTCGTTTTGTGAAGTACATTGAACTGGTAAAGCTGAACTATGATAGACATACCCTATTGCTCTGTTAAATGTCAAGACTCAGAAGGGAAAATGATCAAGACTTAAGATAATTTTACTGATATCTACATTAAATGACATATAATGAAGATGGATGAGAAGATCTTTTTCCCAACTTCTATTAAAAGGCAAAGTGTACACTTACAAACAGACTTTCCCTTTTAATAGAAGTTTGTATGTATGCTTTTATGCAGAGGAAAAAGAATAAAACATTTGTTTTCCAGTTAACAGGAATACAGCTAAATATTTTAAAATACTTGTAAATCAAATGTATTCAGATACTCGAAAACTAATCTGAGTTACTGAACTAGCTACAGAACATTTTATATGACATTTGTCCAACACTAAATCCAACTAATACAGGAATAATTTTGCCCTGGTTGAAAATGACAAATAATTACAAAATTTTACTTTGCTATCAAAACTGTATTTATTCTTGATGTTAGTAAGTAAAGTTATGTTATAAAAATTCTGATCTTATTCCCCCAACCCCCCAAAAAGTATATTATAGCTTGTGTCACTTACTTGTCTAAACTGGGTTTCTGCATTTTCATCTTTGTTCTTGTCTGGGTGTAAAGTTAGTGAAAGCTTGCGATATGCTTTCCTAATCTCTGCAGATGAAGCATCCTGCAAAAACACAAAGCAAACTTTGTCAGAAACAAATTCCCAGAACCTTGTTAAGATCTGAGAAGACAGCCAACCAAATGCAGGACCTGAGGCAATGTAATTTGAGCAATCAGTCTAACAACCAAGCTATGCAGCTAGACTGACCGACATGACTGAACAATCATTCACTCTAATTCATCTCTCGTCTTAACTTCTTTCATTACCATACATTCATTACAAGTTAGTATTTGCCAAAACTTTCAAACACTTGCTTTCTTAAAATTAACCAGTAAAACTTCTGCACTAATTTAGAGCTCAAAAAGACAAATTAAAAATTAATACATCTGTGTATCTTCAAGGAAGTCGTCATTCTTTCACAAGCTAAATTTCTAAATCTCAAGCCTTGACATATGTTTCTCCCTTAATATTATTTACCCTAATTCTCTACATATAGGATTTTCATGCAAATTCAATTTCAGTATGTCTAAAGAAATTGATTTTCTGAAGTAGGTTCAGCTTGTTTTTAATTTGAAACTACCATGACTATACTGGTATATAGTTGTAATATAAGATAAGAAATCTTTTGGTTTTTACTTCTCACATTTGTGAATGATGGACTATAAAACAAAATATCAAATTAATTGCACATATACAATCATTTACTGTGTAACTACTTAAATATAACTAAGTTACTAGGATGATACAGATCACCCAGAGCAGAGGGATTTTATGAGGTTATATCTATTGCTTACTAAAAAATGCACATCAAAGTTATCATGCATGCTATAAACCAGGAATTTGTATTTAATGGAAAACATCACCAAGGCAATCTATCAGGATGGAGTATGAATGCTCAAATCTACAGACTACAACCTAAACAGACCAAGACGTCTCTATTGTCAAAACATGCTGAGGTAAAATAAAAGTCTCATGAAATTTCAAATTTCTTGTTTTAGGATTTATTCTCTAAGATATATTTTAAGACGACTATCAGAGATTGAGTAAAAAACAAACAGATCCCTATAACCGAACAGCTGTTAGAGGAACAAAACTGAAATAAGACAATTAAAGCAACACTGTAATTAGTCTGTCAAATTTCCATTACAAACCATTGTTTTCATTACAAATTTTTCAGGTTTATAGCACCAAACTATAACTCTGTTTAAAAGTTTTAGCTCAAGAGTGAATAGATTTGTAATATATAGAGAGAGTCTTGTGTGTGTAGGAGGTAAGGGGTTTGAGAGGTAGTTTAATTATGGAATGGTAATTTTATTTTAAGATACAATTTTGTTATCCTATAACTCAAACAGATCTCTGCAGGCTATTCTCCTGTCAATAGTAATTGTTTAGAGTCAGGACCATTTAGAGGAAATTTAAAAGTTTTTTTTGTTTGTTTGGTTTTTTTTAGAAAACACCTCCTTGTATACGCACAACATTTTTTTGTATTTTCAGCTAATACTTCTAAAGGTGCACAGCCAAAAGCAGAATTCTATTTGATGACTGATGGCTTGCTTCAACCCCCACCGAAGACAGTGGAAGTTTTTCCATACAGTCATGTTTTAAAGTTTTTTTTCTTTTTGAAAGTGAAGAATGGAGGGAAGAGGAACTGTGACTAAATGTTAGCATTCCAAATAATTTTTCTGTGTGCAATGTAATGTAAGTTTTCCACCTGGAAATTTAATAGAGGTATATAAGAAACTGTGAAAAGAAAATGTGCAACAAAAAGATACTTTTGAAAAGTCAGGGACTTGGACAGTGACAAGATCAAAGGAATAGTACCTCCAGATTGTAAAGCCTGCAGTTTACCCTGATCCCCTTTTCCTCCCATCTTAATCTACTGTTGTACTTCATCTGTATCAAGATTTGCATTTAATTTTATTGGTGACCCTTAACTGAGTGTTGCTTCTCTAAGGGTCTGACAAGAACATTTTAAGGAGTTGTTGGAAGAATATTGTCAGAGTCAACTCCTTCAGATCTAGAAGCAGACTAACAAAGGAATTTGTAGGTTTTTTTTTTTTTTTTTGGTGGGTTGGAAGGAAAATTTACAATGAACTACCCTGCTCCCAAAATAAAGCCTCTTATTTGTGTAAGATTTTAAGTGTAAGGGTTGTTCTCGCTCATGTTACAGTAGTATGTTTTGAGAGCTCTCGAGTTAGATCTCTTCTATTCCCATAATTTCGGTTTCTTAGAATTAAACAGCAGAGAAAGGAAAGAGTGATTAGAAACAGTAAAGCAAATTTATTCTTAAATCTAAGTAAAACTGTGGAGTAATATAAATACAAAATTAAGTATGAAATAGAAGTTAACTTACTTACACACAACACATACTATGGTAAGTACAGGAAGTAATTTACAGACTATTTTATTTACCACCACCCATTGCTACAGTTAGAACCTCATCAACAGACTAGGCTTGTTCTCACTACAAAATGTTACTGTATTTGAATATTGTTGAAGAGAATCAAGTTAGCAGATACGATGCTGATCATGGCTTTGCACTCAGTAAAACTAGGACAAATTGTGTTCAGCATGTCAGCTAATCATGATTAAACCCTCAAATTGAGGGGGGGGGAGGCAATGGGGGGCGGGGAGTAGATCAGCGATAAACCACATTCAACATCATGCCTTGTTTAGCTGACAAGAATGAACACAATTTGTCCTGGTCTATACTAATCTGAAAGTAACCATCAGTACGTCAGGTAACTCAATTCGTACAAACAAGGTTTTTAAATACAATGAAATTATGTAGCTCCTTGAGACTTTGTTCGCTAAAAAGACAGCCTTTAGGTAATGTTGGGCACCTTGAGAAAAGTCTCTAGATCTTTTTAGGGTCTGTCTTCAATGGTCTGCTGTAGCTCACGAAAGATTATGCTCAAATAAATTTGTTAGTCTCTAAGGTGCCACAAGTACTCCTTTTCTTTTTATTGATTACTAAGGCATGAGCCTTCTCTGCTATAGCACATGTTGGGTCTTCATCCTCAGTCTTCATCCACGTAATGACTCAACAAACTGTTCTGAAACAATTACAGACAGCCATCTGCCTTGCCACAGTACCCAAAAGTCCTGTTTGGTTTTGGTTAAGCATCCCACGTAAATGCAATTCTAGGCAATGTACTGAACTGTGGGAGCAGGAGCAAACTATTATACTTCTGTAATCAGACCCCAACAGCATCTTTACCAGCTGCTTTAATAGCCTTTTATTTAACAGGTCCACTTACTGCTAGCTGCCTCTCAGTCTCACCTCCTGTAGCCTCCTGCAATGAGGCTCCAGTGGAATCTGAGGAACAGTCAGCACTAAGAGTGTGCTCGATGCAGACAAAAGAAATAAGTAGAGGTGGGTCCCAGGACAGCCATTTGAAGATAGAAGGAAGACAGGGCAACCACATTTTCAAGAACTTTTTTTTTTTTTGGTGGCTCTGGGGACTTCAAGGAGGGCTTCATTCACATTTTAGTGAAAACTGGATTCTCTCTCTTGCTTTTAAGAAAACAATTACAATTACCTAAAATGCACATGTCCAATAGTAGAGGGGCCTGTTAGTACTCCAGGCCAGTGGTTCTCAACCAGGGGCACACAGAGGTCTTCTAGGGGGTACTCAATCCATCTAGATCAGTGTTTCTCAACCTGGGGTTTGTGATCCCCAGGAGGTTTGCGGGTGGGTTTATGGGGCTCGCAAGTGCAGAGCCAACTTTAGAGGGAGCAAGGAGGGCAACTGCCTGGGGCCCCATTTCACAGGGCGCCTTGGGAAGCTAAGTTACATGCTTCAAGTCCATGCGGTGGGGCGCAGGCTTCAGCCTGCCACCTGGGGCTCCAGCTTCCAACAAGACTCAAGTGAAAAACAGGCTCAAGTATTACATTGAAATATAAGTACAATATTTATATTCTAATAGACTTATTTTATAATTATATGGTTATAATGAGAAAGCAAGCACTTTTTCAGTAATAGTGTGCTGTGACACTTTTGTATTTTTAGGTCTGATTTTGTAAGCAAGTAGTTTTTAAGTGAGATTAAACTTGGTGTACGCAAAACAAATCAGACCCTTGAAAGGGTACAGTTGTCTGGAAAGGTTGAGAACCCCTGCCCCAGACACTCAATTTATTAGAGTTGTCCCTGGCACTCTGTTTCATGTTGGCAACTATGCTTTGTCGCTGACTGAACCAGTGTAGTCTGCCATGTTCCCTTCCTCATGTGGGTATGAAGTTACCAGCATAGCACCAGCTCAGACAGTCCTCCTAAATTCAAGTGACTAGTAATCCTGTAATGAAGCACCTCATGCTTCAGAGCAAACACTGTACTAGGATACTTCCAGCATCAGGCATCCCATGGAGCATAACTGGTTGCAGCAAGAGAAAGCCTTACTAGTATAGAATTTCAAGTATAAAAGTCCAAATCCTTATCTCAATTAGCTAAAACATACACCTTACTGCCAGCATCCACTTCTGTGAGACAGCTAAAATCTCATGCTAGTTTTCTTAGTCTTTGCGCTAATGAAATCCAGCACACTGGGAGCTAGGCTGATATGGTGGGCCTCATCAAGTTCTGGGTTGACAAATCAATTCTGGGCTCCGCTATAATCTTGGATACCAGTGAAGCATGCTCGCACATGATTTTTCAAGCACTTTAAAATTTCACCTATTGGAACAGAAAGTCAAAGACCTTGAAGAGTTCTATGTCCAAGTTTCATATTTGAGTTGTTCGTGTTGTACTCCCGTCTCAAATAAAATTATACCCTACCACTAGATTATTTAAATTGCTGCAGAAATTCTTCTTACACTTTTTTTTTTTTAAAGTATTGATTTGGGAAAAGACTGAAAATCACTGAAAATCTCAGTTCAAAAAATGAACATTTTATAATGGGAAGATGTGAAAATGGCAATGAGGGTGGTTTGTAACAGAAATATTTTCTTTTTAAAGTTCAAGAGTTTTCAGTTTTGCAAAGTGAAAACTAATGTTTCAATTAATTCTACTAATAAGCCAGCAAACAAAGTACCTAATGCTTTAAAAATAAATAAATAATTTTTT